CCAAACGTCAGCCTTTCTGCTCCTATGATGCTGCTTGGCCTGCTGTGTTCGTCCAGCCCTGCACCTTGTTGTCTCGGATTCTCCAGCATCTGCAGTTCCTACTATCTCTCATTCTCCCAGGCAGTCAGTTTCCAATCTCCTCCACCTTCTCGAAGAAAAATATTCTCCTCGACTCTGCTCTGATCCTTTGACAATTACTTTAAATCTCTGACCCTGACATTGTACTCACCACTGTGTGAAATAGGATCACCTGATTCACTCTATCCAGACTCATCATACACCTCAATAAATCACCCCTCAATTTCTTCTGTTCCAAAGGAAACAAACTTAACTGATCATTTCTCATAGCTAAAATTCCTCAGTGCTGGAAAAGTTCTCATAAGTCTTTTCTGCGCCCTCTCTACTCATCTTTTCACATGCAGTGAGCAGAATTGTCCTGTATTCTTGAACTGCAGTTGACCAAGTGTTTTATACAGTACCAGCATAACCTCCCAACTCTTATAGTCTATGCCCCCATTAATAAAGGGAAGTATCCTACACAATGTTGACTATTTTATCTACCTGTCCTGTAAATGTCAACGATCTGTCAATAACCATCTGTTCCCATTGGAAGTCAGAATCAGAATAGCCTTTATTATCACGTGCACTCGAATGAGTGCAGTGAAAAGTTTGTAACTTTGCCTCTCGGTGTCATCGTAGATACAGAGTAGCTAGGTACAGATACTGTAAGTGTTAAGAACATAGAACATGGAACAGTACAACACAGTACAGGGCCTTCAGCCCACCATGTTGTGCCGACCTACTATCATACTCTAAGATCAAACTACCCTGCATACCCTACATTTTACTATCCTCCATGTGCCTATCCAAGAGTCATTTAAAAGTTTGTTACAGAGTTAAAAAAATTAAGCTAGCATGGGAGCAGAGGTTACAAAGTCCAGAATTATAATAAAAGTGACCATAAGTACTTAAGTTCCAATCCCCTTCCAACATGAGTTGGTGCCCCCCCTCCGAGCCCCAGAGCAAGAGGCCATGCTGCCTCCACGTGCCGGCCTTCGTCCAAGACTCGCTCCCGCTCCCGCTGCGGGACTCGCACCCTGCTCGCTCCCGCTCCCGCTGCGGGACTCGCACCCTGCTCGCTCCCGCTCCCACTGCGGGACTCGCACCCTGCTCGCTCTGCTGCCACCACGCGTCTTTCAATCATCAAGCACCTGTCCTATTGCTTCCCGGGCCTGAACTGGTTTTGGACTGGTTCAGTCCATGGGTTTTTACTTTTCTGACCAATCTGTCTCTAGGGACCTTGGAAAAAAAAAACTTGTCTAAAATTCTGATAAACTACATCAAATGTGTCACCCTCATTGATCCTCCTCAAAAATTCAGATGAGCTTCCCCAGCAGATCTTTGCAGTCTTTGACTAAATCTTTCTTAATTACAGTTATTAGACCGTAAGAAAGAACAAAATGAGCAGGCCATTCAGCCCCTCAAGATTGCTCTACTATTCGTAGCTGATCCATCACTCCGTGAGTCCTCTTTCCTGCCCTTTCCCCATAACCCTCGAGTCCCCTACTGACAAAGATCACTCTATTTCAGCCTTAAGTATACACAAAGATTCCATCCCCACAACTCTCTGCGGCAAGGTGTTCCAAAGACTCTCAACCCTCAGAGAAAATTCCTCTTCATTTCTGTCTCAAATTAGTCCTCCTTTATTCTGAAATTATGCCACCTGATCCTAGATTCTCCCATGAGGGGAAACATCCTCTCTGTATTTACCTTGTTTGCTGTACTTCAGAGTTTTTCCAATATTTGCCCATTCTTAAGGTTCAGCTGATTTTCTCAAAGTGAAAGAAGCAGAGAATGACAATGATACGATATTTGCAGTCCCATTTTAGTCAAAGAAGATTGCAAAATGTTTGTCAGAACCTTATTTCCTGTCTTGTGTCTCTTAACAGCTGGGAATACACTTCATCCAGACCAACTGCTTTATCTATTTTCAAAGATGCTAAATATTCACTGTTTCCTCTCTCACCACGTTTATACCATCCAATATTTCACATTCTACTTACAGCTGTTGTGATGTGATGTACATGCACCTTTAAGAAGCATAACCTCTGTCCATCCTTCCCCACCATTAGACTGAATATGATATAATCTTATGACTCTGTAAGGCAGAACACAGCAGCAGTAATACAGATCAGACAAGTCTACATAGCCTCCAAATGAACATGATCTGTGTATGGTCTTATCTTCAAACAAAGAACCCATATTATTGCTTTAGCACTCCATGTTGGGTAATTAGTATGCTTGTGATAAACAATCACAGTACATTGGGATGAGCTCTGAGGAAATTCAAGCCCAGTACTACCTTTACAATTTTACTTGAGGTATAATCATGTATGAAATTTCTATATGATTCAAACTGTGAAAAGCCCTTCCTTATTACAGTCCAGTATGATTAATGATTCAGATATGCGAGCTGTCTAGCATAAAGTACTGGTGGAAATATACCAGTAATTGCTTCTAGAAGTGATAAAATATGAAGAACATTTGAAATAAATTTTGAGTTGTATTGGCTTAAGTGTAACTTATTCCCCTCATATACTGAGATTAAATACTTAAGAACCTGAAACAAAATGAATACGCTTTTTTTTGCCACACACCAAGTTGTGATATGAAATAAACAGCCTGTAAAGGTAGTGGAAGCCGATTGGGTAATAAAATTTAGAAGAAATTTTGATAAATATTTGAAGAGAGTAAATTTACACTAGCTTAAGAATTTAACTCCTTTGATTGCAGGCTGGGTCATTTGGTCCTAATGCTCTGGGACAGGAGAAACAGCTTAACATGGTCAGCACAATCTATTCTCTTTAGAATATTGAAAACAAGCATTTCATCTGAACTTTATTTCCCAGTGGGAATGTCTTCTGATTATTCAATGCTGTTTACAATCCACTCTCTCCACTTCTTCAACAATTGTGGTTGCTCTCTTGTATAACATTATGTTGTAACATGGAGCACTGGAAATGTGCTCTCAACAATCCAAGTAACATTCCTCATTCCACCTCTCTCTCTCTGAAGGAGTGCTGCACTAACAGGGTTGCCAGCGTTCAGTCGAGATGTGACATCAATGCCCAGACAAGGAATAAAATGTCATGTCACGCTATCCAAAGAAAAGTAAAGTGGGGAGATGGACACTATAACAGCTAATGTTTTAGAACTTGCATATTGAACTGTGATATCTGTATAACACTTAGACACCACACCTGTGTTTCACTAGCCTACCCCAAGTGAAGTGTCTGTTGTTAAAGTGAATGTATTTAAAAGGTGCAGGTCTAAATGCAAGAACATTCATAACATTCAGCGATCAGAATGAGATAGTAGCCACTCTGAACTTGACTTCCTGGTGGTCAGTACCATGCATCCAACAATTCTGCATTCTTCCCTTCCACCACCTCAGCTAGCAGATTATTTCACACGTTTGCTACTCTGAGTGAAGAATTTTTTTCATTATGATCAATCCGAATTTACTTTCACCAAATGTACCATCGTGCTGTCTCACAAGTGGGACTAGAAACTGATGAGAACATTGGTACAGTATCACTGCCCATCCCTGCCAGATATGGAGAATTTGTACAAAGTAAACAAGTCAAATGGGGAGAAAATAAAGAATTTTGTCTTGTAGATTAAAAAAAATGCAACAAACAGCTGCTGGTCTCAGCAAAACATTAACTTGTTACTTCCAACACACTTTCCTCTTAGGAAGGCAAGGAGAAGAGCTCATGAACCACAGAAATAGAACATATCAGCAGCTGTAACTGGTAAAACAAAGTGGCCAAATTGAAAGATTGAGACTGTTTATCAAAGCATCTTCACTCATGCATCTTGGAGGCATAGTCAGAAGAATTGGCACCTAATTCTCTCACACAAACACAATTTATATAATATTTATCTGCTTTTACCGTGGAGTTTTCAACTGATGTAAAGTTATCAAACAAGCATAAAGGGCTGCATTGTGCTAATTTAATTCAGTTAGCTTGTGAAAATCTTTTGTATATAATTAACATTCATAGTTATATTATGGCACACAAAAGCAGATAGAGAGAGAGAGAAAATTTAAGTAGTTCATTTCACATCACCGATGGGTCAGTTAGCTCAGTTGGCTGGAATGACTGGTTTGAAATACCAACAGCACAGGTTCAATTCCCGCAAAGGACTCCTTGCCCTTGCCCGAGGTGTGGTGACCCTCAGGTTAAACCACCACCACCAGTTGTCTGTCTCTAATGGGAGAGTGGCCTTCTGGGACTAAGGTGACTTTACTGACAAGTTTACATAGCCATTCTTCACTATATACGTGACATTGATCAGTACTCATCTACAATGAATGCATATCTGTCACACTTCAGATATCACATTCTTAATACTAAATAATCTTAACCAGGACCCTGCACTATTACCAAATTGACAGATTTCGCTTTCTATCTTCAGCTCTACCACACCCTGAAATGTAATCAGTCATTCATGTGCATTTTTTTTGCTGCTAGCTGAGTTTCGTCATGTAAGGAAATCAATTGTGACTGCAGATTGAGACATACATAAACTGGTTTCTGTAATTCCCTCCCACTTTTTTTTTGTATTGGTAAAAATAGTAGGTAAACATAAAAAGCAATTTTTCAACAGTCAAGTAAAAAAACTGCAAGAAAAAGCTTTTTCATAATTGGCTCAGGCTTAGAGCTCAGCCTGGAAGTGTGGTGGAGACAGGTTCAATTGAGGGCATTCAAGGAGGGAACTAGATGATTATTTAAATAAAACAATGTGCTAGGGAATGGACAAAAGGCAAGAGAGTTATGATGGTTGTTCGACAGCTGGTTTAGACAGGATGCCTCTTTTTGCACCGAAATAGTTCTGTGATTGTGAAAACTGATATTAGTAAATTTGATTGCCAAAACTCTACATATGATTGTGTACAAACAACATAAATGGAAGGCAGTTGGGAGCTAAAGTAATTAATTGTTTTAATGGTCAGAGATGTTATATTTAATCACAAAAACTCTTGCTTTCGTCAAAGTTGGTATTACGTATTTCAATATTCATAAATTAATGAAACGTTGTTTGATCAAATGTACATGAAAGATGCAGTCCTCTATGATCTCTTGTCTCAGCACTTCAACAGATTTGATTGTATTCCCATGGGAATCTTGTTTAACCTGACAGCCCAGACTATGTTAATATTTTAGTCTCATTAAGTAAGTGGTGCAGTTGTATATATGCTTACTTAGTAACAGTTAGCAATAAGCAGCTGCAAAAATAAAAGCAAATAGCAAACCTGAAGTAGAATTACCATCTCATTAATAATGATCATTTGAACTACCGGATTAATGATCATTAAACTACCATCTGGTTCACTAATGTCCTTTTGGGAAGGTCGTCTGCCATCCTTACCAGTGACTCCAGACCCACGCCAATATGGTTGACTATTAGCTGACCTTGTAAACTGTTCAGTTGCCTCAGAAGTACTGTGGGATAACCAGACTGCAGTTGAGCCAAATGTTTCACTACCATCTTCTCAAGAGCTGTTAGGGATGGGTAACAAACACTTGCCCAGCCGTCAGTGATCATGTCCTAGGAATAAATTTCTTAAAATGAAGTTACAATATTACCTTCTTTTTTTAAAATCTATGGTCTGAGCAAAAGCAAGTGATGGTTTTATTTTGTGTTTGAAGGAAAAAGTGCTTTATTGACATTGTTAAATGCCAATCCCAGCCCAGGAGCTGGAGCATGGTGGGCATTCAGTACGGATGGGATTCTGGACCTTCTCACAGATGTTGGGAAGCCAACTGTTGGGGCATCCCATGACCCATACTGACCCTTTCTACACAATTATGTACTATTTTCTCCTAGAATGGAGGGAAAGTGAGGGACTGTGTGAGATGAAAGTGGCTGGCATAGTTGTTATGCCCCAAATGAATGAGTAGGAATCACAGAGGGCTCGCAGGGTTAGTAGTCCAGGTCAACTGAGTGATTGAGAACAAGTGAGGGAAGGTGTTGAAATAGCGAGAACCGTAGGAGATGGGTGCAGCACAGAACCAGATTCAGATCATTCTCTAATGTGTCACTTCAGCTGCAAACCAATTAAAGTAAATGAAGGTACCAATCTATCACTTTTGGATTCTAGATCTCCATATTAACAGCACAGTTTAGTATAACTCT